TTTCCAGGATTTATTTAAGTCAACATCTCCATCAGTCAACCCGAACCCGAAAAAATGTGACACTGAAACCGTCGGCCGCGAAAGCCTTAGCCATTTTATTCATGTTGACTTTACGAAAAACTGATTGATTGCTAACGAATTTTTGTTGACAAAACCACTAATTTGAACCATCTTAACCAATGAATCTTTCATCATGGAACATCATAATCACCAACACGGATCATCATAACCACCAACATGGACCTTATCAATGACTATGATTCAAGAAAAAAATCCTTTACCCAATAATCTAATAGTTAATTGAACAAATATCATTTTTATTTGTGAAAATAGAGTATAAATAATGATCAATGACTATTACATTAATTAAAAAAAACCTTCGACATTTCTCATATCATTATCCAAACAAATAACTCTGTTAATAGTACCTACATCAAACTAATATTTTCGAATTTGAGAAACAATTTTGACATTTCTCATATCCAAACAAATAACTTCGATAATAGTATATCGAACAAATATTTTTATACCTATCTGAAAAAACAAATTCGACACTTCTCATATCCAAACAAAATGCACTACGCAGCTGAAGATTGGCCGGAAACAGTAAATTTGGATTCTGCTATCAGAAGGGTGGCATGGGAGTTAGCCGATCTGAGTTTTGATGACTAACATTCATCAAATTATGATTTGAAAGTATGTTTTGATGCTGAAGAGGTACGAAAACTTTTATAGCGCAGCGAGAAATATGAGCTTGGTGTGGAGATATGTCATAAATACTTGTATGGAACTAAACATTTTGATGAATTTTGTGACCTGATGATCGAAATAGGCTTGGGGGTTTTCCTTTCTGACATAAACTTATACCTACCGCAAAATATCATATCAAAGTATCAATCAACATCATGTGATTCCAACTCATCTGTATGAGTGTTCTCACCTCTTTTGATACACTCTCGGATTGGTTGGTGTTTTGGAAGCCGATAATGATAAATCGGTCTTTCCAGGCTGTTCGTTGTTTTCACGGCCCATATATATGAGACTGTATCACGAAGTGCGGATAATTCATAAAGATCCCATATACGATGGGCCACATTTACTTTAGTACGATTGCTTCTTTTATTGATGAACTTCAGTAGTTTTAGTTTCTGGTGGTCTTTCGGCACAATATGTTTGATTCTCTATTCTATTTCACTGATTTCCAATTCTGCACTAACTTCCTCAATGAATGAACTTTTGAACACATTTTCTTTTCCTGAAGGCCGATACCACTCCTTCGACATGCAAGGCAAGGCAAGACATTGTTTGACGGGTTCTGTCAGTTAAACACTTGTAAATTTGAAGTAGTGCGAAATATAATTGGTTTGCTCGAGAAAGTTCTCCTTACACCCTCCTTACACTCTACACGTGCGGTGCGAAGTTCGACCTTGATCATTACTTTTAATGACAACATACGACCTTGAGCAACTCGTCACACCATATGATAACATTTACAACCTACTTTTGTTATAGAAAAACTATTTTCTATCGAGATATTTAGGTAATAGCAGGGGAGCCCACGATGCAAAATGGGTATTTACTCGAGCGTCATTGAGATATATTAGGTTGCAATGCTTAGATGATAAGAAGAAAAAAATGTTATATAATATATACCTTTTCATCGGAGGAAGAAGCGGCTATAGATTTTTAAATATGTAAAAAAAATACTGTTGCATGGACATACTCGAGCGCATCAGATATTGATAACATCAATATCCTACGTATTTTTAATAATGTGGGTATGTTAATCTGATCGTTTGCATGATGTGGGTGGTTGTACGTAAGGGTTAAAAGTGAAAGGAAAAAAATGTATTCGAGCGCGTCAGATTTTCTAAGGGAGTGTCAAGTGCAACAAAAAAAAAGCTCTCATTCAATAATCTGACGATTTCGATCTGATGCAAACTCGCGGCCATTATTATAATGTGCAAAAAAAAATTCGCCATTTTGAAATACTCAAGCGCGTCAGATTAAGATATATATGGTTCATCTTTATGTTT